TCAGGCCAAGTATCGGGAAACCTAAAGCCTGGTGGCATGCCAGTCATCTGTAGTGTAGGGGCGAGATCCACTGACATTTCACGTCGACCAGGTTTGTTTATGATGATAAGGTTCGCCGATGGTCCAATTTTTCGTAGAGTGACACCTTGTATTTCAGGGCAGTGCCTTAATTCAGATGCTAATGCCTTTGCCACCAGACCATAGAACCAATCATATAGCTTAAAAGGTAGAAGGTAATGACTGTGGTCCATAAACGACTGCCATTTACGGTGAACGAGGGAAGTAGAAGATGAAACACCAACAAGTTTATACTTGGCGTATCCTTGAGGACCACTTCGACCTGGACCCTCTATCTGAATAAATAAATAAATAAATAAATAAATAAATAAATAAATAAATAAATAAATAAATAAATAAATAAATAAATAAAAGTTTCACAATTCAAATTGAAAATATAGGTCTATTGGTCAATTGAACAACATTACAACGTTTTCAAATGACGTCGTTGTGCACTGTGCTTGTTGATTGGCTGTTTCATTCCAAACTGACACGTATATACATACCAGTGGCGTCAGCCATCTTGAAGCATACACACTCGAAAATGGACATACACAAATACGAAAAGTATACATACACATTTTGTAAAACAAACTGGGATTTCGTTGAGAATCTAAAAAAAATACGAGGCGGTCGTTTGGTCACATCTCCCATACGTGATCGTAATCTACCCCCGGAAGGTAGCCATACGTCACAGGTGAGAGTCATATATATACCTTACCTGTCCCCTCCATCCATCCGGTATTTTAAGGCATATGTTGTAATCGAACTCGTCTGCCTCGCGGACTTTGAGGTTTTCATGCGAGCTGCCAACACCAAGCTTACGATCGAAGCTGAACTGAAACGTGGCGTCTTTCTGCATATGTTCGATAACTTTATCGACAATATGACAGACTGTCTTCTTGTTCCTTTCCATTTCATCACATGACACCTTGACGTGGTCTTGTGTTATTCGGTTCAACTTATAACTCAGCCCAGACGTTCTCGCCTCCGGTAAAAACTCAGAATATGACGCCATGGCTTAAATTACAGTGGAATCGGTCTAAAGGGCTGAAAATGAATGTTCAGTGAATTTCCACTGTAACTGGGCGTTAATCCGAGAGGGCGCTGTAACTGAAAAATACAATTTAAACTGAAAGCTGTATTGTCGTCGAGAGATACATTCGGAAGTACAGGGAACGGCAGAAACCCGGCGTCGAAATGTTTTTTGTCGTTCACTGTAATACAAGTCCTATAATATATCCAATAGTTACGTTGTTCTATAAATATCATGGTCAAAGGTTTCATCAAATCGCTGAATGGCATGCGGAATTTTCTAATCGGCGAGCTGAAGATGACCTTAACACAAACACAAAATTGTATTTGAAGTACTGTTTGGTATTATGCATTACCAAATTTGATATTTGTTTTCTTTAGAGTCGTCAAATATCCTAAGATGTTGTCGGTATTAACTACGCACACAAAGCAGAAATTTGAACAGCTTTAACCAATAACTTAGCTGTGATTTCTGGGGCAGTGAGTAACGGCACAGTCCTTCTATCAGGATATCAGATAGAGTGACTGTGGTAACGGGGAGCGCGTCTGCTTAAAGTGGCGAGGTGCAATTGCCGAATTGTGTGTTAGAATCGCGTGTTTCATGTTTCTATTTTTGTAAATGCTCCTGCATTTTTATTCGTCAATGGACGGTTAAAATGGCAGGTTTCAGTTCAATTTGCGTATGGTTTTCATGAGAAATTGTATTTTGAATATTGTATTGTTTCTTGCATTTTTTTCTTTGGAGAAATTCACCGAAATGCTAACATAGTAGTCCATAGAGTTATAATTAGTCGTGAGACAGGTTAGTTTTACCCTACTGATGAGGTTAGGTCGTCGCTACGGTAATTCTGCTCAGTACGAGAAGAACCGCAGATTCGGTCACTTGGTTTACGCGATAGGCCGATAGGCCGATAGTGCGAGGCTACCCTCCGAGGGCTTACGACTGAACGCCTCTAATTCGGAATCCCGCCCGGTGCGCCATGACTCCACGGCGCCGCTATCGAGGGAGGCTCCCGATAGATGCGTGTTTCCAAGCACGCACCGACCGAGCCGAGCCGCCTTCCGCCGAAACTTACTTGGCCTGGAGCAGTAGAGCGTTTCTCCCGGCCTCGCGGCGGTGATCATCCCCTCCGTGAAAGGGGCGCCGAATCACTTGCAGACGACTTGGGTGTGGATCGGGGTGTCGTACTTAGCAGAGTAGCCGCTTCGCTGCGATCAATTGAAAGTAAGCCTCAAAGACCCGTTGGATTCGTTTTTTTTTTTTAAATACAAAAAAAAAAGAAAGAAAAAAAAGAGTTATAATTAGTGGCATGGGCCCTACAATTACCTGCAAATGAAGCAGACGGACAAGGTCTTCAGAGAGTGTCATTTACTGAAGTCCAGCCTCAGGGATTACGGTACAACTTATCGGTGTCCCTGGGCGAAATGACGGCCTATCACTGTTAGTTTTATGTATTATTTCCCACAATAGTGAATGATGCTAATTATCCTTTCCGTGATCGTGGCCGATTTCAACGAAATGGCGACTATTAGACCTTCACTTTTCACATCACATTTCACGGACATTAACCTTTTATTAATTAGTTATAATTATTAATATTTCGGTAAGATCTTTATGTGGTTTGTGACGTTTTGGGGACTATTTTATCGATTGCGCCAGAATACATACTTTTGTAATGGTGTTATATGTCACCTGATCACTCGAGTGTATTGATATGTAAAAGTAGTGTGGGTGGTGTAATTGAAAATGGCGGAATAAACAAGAAGTTAACTTTGAAAGCTCTCTGGTTTCTTTGATGTGTTGTGTGTTCCTGCGTCAACACATCACAGGTTATATACGAAAAAAAATTATTACACTTGATACATAGATGTCTTGGATAAGAAGCAGACCTGATTAGTTTCTTGTTGCAATCTGTGCATATTAATTACTCAATTGACATATTAATTTTGGCAATTTTAAGCATTCCCATTTGTTTTTTCATGTACTATTCAACAGATTTCAATGAAACTTGATACATAGATGTCTTGGATAATGTGCAGACCTGATTCGTTTTGGGTTGAAATCCATGCAACTTTAGATCTAATTTGCTATATATGGTCATGTGACCTGATTAATATGTATAACTAACGTAACGTGAGTACTGCTGCAGATCGACATTCAACGAGCGTATAATGAAGACATCGGACAGATGATATGACTAATGTATCAGATCACAATATATGTGACCCCAATATCACGCATATCTGTAATATATTAAGGGCTAATGCAGATAGTGACATGATATAAAATATCGGAAATATACAGAAATATCAGTTCATCATAAACGGTCATGGTTTCATAGTAATAATATTTCATAATATTTATAATTGTTGTACCAAAGCCACTTACAACTACCTAATCAGTGTTTGCATTTATATTAGTAAATGTCGTAATGATAATTTACCAAGGCCATTTTACGGTCAAAATTTAGACATATTTCAATGATTTTGCGTGCAATGAATACATTTTTCTGCCTTATGTTGCTTCTATCAAATAAATACAGTATTTCTTATTTGTACTTCATTTCGCCAACACCCTCAGCACACGGGAGTTCATCGTCCGCCTGCACGGTGTTGTCCCGTTCGGATATTCATCCCTCCACAACACAAGGTGATAGTGGAGCGCTTTACCGGAACATTCACCTTAAAAAGGTTATTCTAAGCTTTCTTTGATACAATTTCATAAAATTGACATAATTATACCTTAGATCATGGAAGGTATGCTTAGATTAAAGATGAATGGGTAGTATAATATAACCCCATGGTTCCCATCCTAACATTTCTGTGGTATTTACATGAGTGTAATAGCTGCATATATGTCACTATATTAACGCTATGATAAAGACGTTCTATTTTTGACATTGTGATATTCTTTCGTTTTTTGGGAAAAAACCTGAAAACACTTATTTTGACCAGATAATCCAGAAATTTATATTCAGAATAATTCATAACGAAATATATTTTCTATGCACCCACAAATGATTTTCATAATTACTGATTATACAAGAATATTACAGAGAAACGATAATTTGCTATATTATCTATATCACTGAAATTATGTAGTGTGTTCAACAACCCATGTATGGACAATAACTAATAAATATACTTGTAAAAATTCTGTATTTTTCTGCATAAAAACGAAAGAATTTCTCGTCTTTATCGTAGTGTTAATATTCAAATACATGTTTAACCATGTTTACCTCCATGTTTTAACGTTGATATAGAACAAAACGAAGCTTAGCATGATGTCCCGCTTAAATTACAAACCTGTGGGTTAATAATCATATTGATTGTCAAAATTATTAATATTAATTAATATATATATCACATCATTTGCCCCTTTGAGTCTGTGTACATTTCTAGCATGGTTTACTACTCCCTATCTAACTAAAATAGGTTAAACATTATCAAGCAACGCAAAGAAATGGTTGATATGACATGGTATATAATCCAGAAACCATCCCGGGACATCGTCAGGACATGTCCGAACATGCTGACATTTCTGACGATAACAACAAGTGAACATATATTACTACGTGTCATACGTAATTATTGAACATTAGAACGCTTTAGGATGTCAAGGGTGTCACATAGTAAGTGACATTTCGTGGACTCTATTTGTCACGCCTTAAATCGACAGACTAAACACGTCCATGCAACAACTAAAAACATTTTAACTGCATTATTCGACTGCGAAAAGAGATATGTGGTGTTTATGAACATTCACAGGGGAAGGGTGTAAGTAATATGCGTACTGAATTATTCTCGATTCATATATGATAGCCGTGATTAGTCACAGATTCCAAGGGCTCTATGATATTAAAGCGGGAGGGTCGTCACCTGCGGACGCACGGGAATTGAGTCCCGAGCGATGATAACACATGCTAAAAATGCAAAGGCTCATGGGTAGACGCTTGTTTGTAAACAATGACACGCTATGGCCATCTGATGCATGCGCAGGTGTCGACTCCACCGCTTTAATTGTACATTCACAGGTTAGCTAAAGGATAATATAGGATGAAACATGAATATTGCCAATATGTGAATATGCTTTCAGTCAGGCAGTTTAAAAACTACCCAAATATCAATGTGCATCTTGTATAGTTAAAACGAGAGGGTCGTCACCTGCGCACACGCGGGAATCGAGTCCCAAGCGACGATAACACACGCTAAAAGCGCAAAGGCTCATGGGTAGACGCTTTTCCGTAAACAATGACACGCTATGGCCATCTGACGCATGCGCAGGTGATGACTCCCCCGCTTTAAATCGTATATTAGAAAAAGTGATAAATATTTAGACGACATGAGGCATTATTAGAACACTGATTTATTCACAACTAAAACTTGTTTATATAACATGTTCATACAGGTACGCAACAAGGAAGTACAAGGTAAATATTATTTGTTATAAGAAATTGGATTGATTTATAAGCTTATGATTAATTTAATCACCGATATGAACATCGATAAACCATGGAAGGTACT